CCCACACCCACACCCACACCCCACACCCTCACCCGTTTTTCGACAGCAAAAAGTACCTCATTTTACTCAGAATTTAATACTGATTCCGAATATGTAATTCTTTTTTAAAAATATTTTGGACAAAAAAATGGCCTTATCGACACTTGTCCTTTCAGCCAATTGGATTCAAGTGGAATAAGTCTAGTAATCTCATGAAAAATAAACAAGCTGAATCTAACTGACAAAAATAAAATATTATCAAGTCGGATAACACTAGATAACTGTTTAACGCTTTCACAGCAATGTTTCTATATTGATTTTCTAGCGTTAGGAACATTAATTCAATCTTATATTATGTTGAAATACTGAACACCAAGAAAAAAAACCTTGGTGAATAAGCAATTTCCATGGAGTATTTCATTGAATACTTTAAGAATCAATGAATTATGTATCACTTCAAATAAATGAATAGGTCTTATCAAAGGTATTGAGATTAATTGAAAGTGAGATGATACTCATGAACATTGAGCAACAGACGCAGAATCAACTCCACTAAATTTTTAAGAACGATATGAGTTATGTGTTGAGGATAAGAGTGTACCAGATCTCGATATACGACATGACTTTTTTTAATCAATTCAAGTACCCAAAATGATTTTGGATGACTTTTATATTGCCCATTTGACCCTTGATGTAGCGATTACCTCCTATTCAATATTAAAATTTCGATTATGTTACTGGATACTAAGTATAAAATAATGAAGATATGATTCATCCGATAGGCTCTTTGCCGTTGAAAGTTCTTTCGTATGACTCCATATAGCTTTCAATTTCATTTCACAAATAGCAACAACAACAAAAACAACGTCAACAACGTCGACGTCGACGACATCAACATCAACAACTACAACAGCAAGTAAGTACACTTTCAAATTTACAGTGTGACTGATCTCTCATTGCAAAAAATACATTTTCCATCGTATTCCAATGAACCGCCTAGTTTTGATTCAAAAAATATATTTGTCCATTGTTTTTTTATTTGTTGACGAGTTCTCCAAATCTTGGGATCTCAACCATATTCAACTGCTTCGTTGAATATCAGAATCCGAAAAACTTGTGCGTGTTGGTGAAGAGTAGACCCACGCCCACACTCAATACAATCCTACTGTTTCTCTGATTTTTCTGTGAAATCTTTATTTTTTGAGAATTGAAATCTTGAGAACAATTCATTTGTTTTGGTTGGAATGTCCAGAATATGCTATTTTTTTATATGATATCTATTTTCAGGCGAGATGCACAATAGGAAGTCATTATCATTAGTGAAAAGCTACTATAATAATCATTCGTGCATTGCTGCTCTATTGCAAAGAATGAAATACTTAAGCATGAGTTACTCCAGTCTCTTGGTCTCGCACTTACGACCCATATCTTTCCTCGAAAATGACATGACATTTCGAGAGATTTTCTCTGAGATCGAAACATTCTTTTGAAGAGTGTTTTTCAATGATATCTATTATAACTAGCATAAGTCTTCTTGAGCTTACTTCGCCTTTTCGAGAGCTTTGTGCTCTGTTCGAAGTAACTCTTCGTTTGTTGATCATGTATCTTTTAGCTACGACTACTACAACTGCCCAAAACGTAGCTAGTGCTTTCTGGTCATTTGATAGCAATGCACTTGAACTTTATAATAGTGCTCTCGATGGTGCTCTCTCCGGTAGTCCAACCTATACAACCAGTTTTGCTGGATATGGTTCAGCCATCTATTTTATTCGATCTTCTGCTCAATATGTTTATATTACGCCGAAGGTACTTCCGTTCAATTCGCGTAGTTTCACAATCGAAGCATGGATCTATCCTATTGGTTTTTCAAGTAGTAATGACTATGGAATATTCGGTCAATGTCAAGCAACAAGTTACAATCTATGCCTATACTTCATAGTTCGAAACAACCAATTATATTGTGGATTCTATAGCAACGACGTACAGGGTGGAACCACCCTAACAATGAGCACATGGCACCATGTAGCTTTTGTCTATGATTCGACCACGACGATGCAACAAGTGTGGCTTGATGGTAACCTTGATGGTTCACATCCGGCCAGTTCCTACGATGGTCTGTGGGAAATAACAACTATTGGTGCCACTTTTCAATTAGGCAATGCATCTAATTTCAATGGTTACATAGACAACGTACGATTTGAGGCTAGAGCTAAAAATTCGACTGAAATTCTCAACGATGCTACTCTACATGTTTACTACTCGTTTGATAGTGGTTCACTTATCGACAATGGTCCCAATGGTATCAATGGAACTGCCTCTGGAAATCTATCAAGTACAACTGGTCGAGTTAATCAAGCACTGCAATTTAATTCGGGACCCTATATATACTATTCATATACTCCATTTTACTTTTTGGGCATCAGCGGTTATCCATTTAGTATAGCCTTGTGGGCAAAGCCAACAGGAAGTTATGCGCAACAAACACTTGTTTTCGTACACGGATCAACTAGTTGGTGTGTTCATTATTTAGTAATGACATCGAGTGGACAGTTAGTTGCCAGTAGTTATAATGGTGCTGACGTAGTCATAAATGGTCCCATCCTTTCTTTAAATATTTGGACACACATTGGCTATACTTATAGTACAACCAACGGTGTTCGATTGTATATAAATGGTACCCAATACTCGACGACAGGCTCTTTTACGTTTTCAGGCTCTAGTGTTCCAATGAGTATTATGTTGGGTGGTGATGCCGGTCGAACTCACTGCACTCCAAATTACGGAGGTGTATTTACTGGTACCCTGGACGAATTTTATCTTTATAGGCGTGAATTAACAGCAGCTCAAATTTGGACATTAGCCAATCCTTAAGCTGATGCTACGAAGCTTACTATCGATGTTGACCACTGCGACATTCATATCCCTGAATCGCTAAAAACATTGTTTCATTGAAGTAAGCTTGTGCATATTATGACTTTGAACTCTTACTACGAATAATATTTCGGATTCATTGCACATACAGCGTTACAATAGGGATATTACCTACTTAGTTGCTGGTTGCGTGTTTTTTAAGTACAGTTGCG